CCCCTTTCCGCCCGCCGCCCGTGGCTCCTCGGCGGCGAGTCGCCCGCGGGGGATGCGGCAGAGGCGCCGCGCCGGGCGCCGCGGCCGCGGGGCTCGCTCCGCGCACGGCGGGAGGCGGCGAGCGGCGGTGATGGGCGCGCGCTGCTAGAGAGCGGCGGCCGAGGTGAGTGCGCGGCCCCGCGGGATGCGGAGGGCGAGCGGGGAGAGCTCCGCGGGCTGCCCGTGCCTTCCTCCTCCTCCTCCTCCTCCTCCTCCTCCTCCTGCGCCGTTTGGCGGCCACTCGCCGCCGGTTTGTTTGCCCGGTGCCGGCCCGGACAGCGCGGAATTGGGCGCCCGCTTTAAGCGCGCTCGGTTCCTGCTTTACATCGCGCTGGAGGGCGAAGTTTCGCCAAGGAGCGAACTGCGAAAGTGGAGCTGCTCCCTTCGCCGTTTCTCATCCCGCGCCTCCGCCGCTGACTTGCGAAGTGTGCAAAGTTCGGCGTTGTTTTGTTTGCTTTGGTAATCACTCCGCTCTCCTTTCTCCTCCCCGCAGGTCTGGAAGGACGGTAGCCCGTGCAACACGCAGGGCTCTGCTTTTCAAAATGGAATTGCAGCTCGCGCTGCTTCTCGCAGGGATAATTGCGTTTTCCGCCTCGGCGAGAGGTAAGAGAGCAGCCTCGCCGCGCGGATCGCGCCCTTCGGCACCCGCCGAGCCCGTGTCGGGAGGGACCCCACGAGGGCCCTGCAGTGGGCATGGGCTCTTGCACGGCGGGTTGCTTTCTGGGCACGGAGCGCGCGCCTCCTTACCTGCACGGCGCGGTCGTCGCTGCGGCTGGAGCTCGGTCGCGCTTGGCTCGCTGAGGTTTCTCCAGCGCAGGTGAACTCCCAGGACCCCGGCATGCGCGTGGGTGTGAAAATGCCCGGGTGGTTTTTAAAGAAACGGGGTGTTCCTCCGGCCCGTTCCCACCAGCAAACTGAACAGACGCGTCCATTAGTGTCCTCAGTGACAGACAAATGACAGTTCCCAACAGCCAGCCTGTGTTTTCCTGCTGGGTCTCTCGCCATTGATCGGATTTCCATAAACAGGTTCCACATTGCAATGCGTTGTTGCAGAGACGCAGCAGAGATGGTTGGGGAAAAAAGAGCTTTCTTTGCAGGAAGGTGATTTAACCTAAAGTGATGGGGTCCGAGCCACAAGACTGGGACATACCTTGGCCAGTGCTGTCACTGAACAGGAAAGTGGGTCTGAGTGGCCATGAAGGAGAAGACTGTGTTGTTGCGGGAACATGGGATGCAGGAAAACTGTGGGAATTGATGAAAGACCTTTAAAGGCTCCTGTGCAGGCTAGGGCCCTGTAGCTCCCAATTAAAAGATTTAAACATTTACTTGAGTGTGGGGGGTGATTGCAGGCAAGGAGGGGGAAGCGTGATGCTGAGAGCCCACATTGGGTCAGAGCGCTGCTTTTTTAAAATTTTTTCTTGGCTTCCGCGCAAATATTTTATGGAGGCAGAAGCACTATAAAATGATTCTGCTGGAAGCTGAATGAAAAAGAAAACAGTATATATAGCCTTGAAGGTCTGAAGGGCTGGATTCCAGGCAGGGTTTACAATGGGGACTCAGTTTTGAGCTACGGGCGACGGGCAGCACTGCGTGGATTCGGATGACCTCATGGAGCTGCATTATTCCAGCAGACCTGGGAGTTGGTGGAGCTCCCCAAAAGCCCAAAAGGTGGGCAGGAGAAGACAAAAAGTTTTGTCTGCCGCGTCGCGGGGAGAGGATTTGGTGCTTTGCGTGCCTAAGTGCTGTTTGCACTTGTCGTGCTCGCCTGCTTTTATTGCCCCCGGAAAACACAGAGTGGTTGACCATGGACTGCAAGTGTACAGAAAGGAAACAGAAAGTTAGCAGTGGTGATTTCAGAACATCATAGATTTCCCCATGAAAAAAGTTTCTTTTTAAATATATATAACTTTGTCGGGGTTGACAAAGAGTTTGAGCTGATTGAACTCTTCAGAGCCGGGGAAATCAGAGCTGCAAATGGCTGGGGAGATGCCCCTGCTTCTTTAAAATGGCACAGAAATAGAGTTGCATGGAAATAAGAGAGCGCAGGGCCAATCTCCCCCAAAAGTTCCCTTTTCTTCTTGTTTGCCCATGTGGTGAAAGATCCAACTTTTGAGGGAGCAGCGGGGAGACGACGCTGCCCATCACGATGCCGCCGCGCTCCGCACTGCAGAGAGGTGCCCCCAATTCCGGGAAATGTACATTTGGGTAATTTTAGATTCTCTTAAAGATGTGCCCAGCTGTTAACATGCCTGTGGATTTTTTCCCCATGCCTCATGCGGTGGTTCACGCTGCTGCTGAGGTGCAGACGTTACCTGTTTCACAGCCGGAGCTGCAGCCTGCGGTCGTGGGGCTTTGCGGCGCGGGGAGAAGGCGCTTGGCTTTGGCCGAATGTTGTTTAATATTTTGTGCCCCTTTTGCAATTTGTGGGTGGCCCCGAGCGTTCCAGTGCCACCCGGTCCAAGGGGCCAGGAGGGAAATAGGCATTTTCCAACATAAATCCTGCACAAAGGAGTGCCGGGTTGAGAATGCGGTTCTTCACGTTCAGTCCAACTGATGCACTGGTGCATGGGGCTAATGCTGCATATTTTTTTTGCCCCATTGAAAGGGGAGATTTTTTGCAAGGTTCAAGCTGTGCTTGATGCCTCTGTCCTTGGTGCACTCTTGTGACCCGATGTGTCACATTGGGGATACACAAAGTGCTGCAAGAACAGCAATAGCCTAGGAAACCAAGAGAAGCCCTTAAGAAAGTGGCCTGACATTTTATGTAGCCATGAAAAGTGAAGAGCAGATCTGCCTTTAGAAGGCTTGGCACAGAAGGCTGGAGGAGCAGGTAGCTCTGGCTTGAATTTAGGATTTGGGGGTTGAAGCTTAAAAGGCTTTGGCTAGGAGCTTGTCTGCCCCTGGAATCGTAGTGGGGTCTGGAAGAACTTGCCCCGTGACCCATCTTATTCCAGGCTCAGCAAGTCCTAGTGGGTCCTCTACAAAAACTAAGGCGTTAGTAGCTATTCTGCATCATCCAAGAGTCGTCCTTCCCTTGGAGGATGAACACCAGCGCAGAAACTTCTGCGCCTACAAAATCCCAGCACAAAATCAGTGTGTTGCGGATCTCCGAGAGCTGTTTTGCCCCTTGGCCAAGAGCCAAGGCTTAAGGTAGCAGCTTCAGACCTTTAACTAGCTGCCCTGGGTCTTGCCAACCCCACAGCGGGGCCAACACGGGTGCTAGAGTCCCTGTCCTGTGTCCCTTCTGTCCTTCCCTCCGCGCAGCCCCATAGTGGGTGACAAACATCCCCTTGCAGGGACGAAGGCCGCCTTGGGTCACCAGCCTCTAGTGACCACATCCCGTCGCGATGTAGCTGCCACGGCTCCACACCTCCGGTCGGATACAGGGAAGAGAATCTGATATTTTCCCTCTTAGGTTATCCCCGCAGCGATAGTTATTCCCAATCTGTCAAGTTGCCATCGTATTCGCATTGGCTACCCTATATGGTCCCGTAGGGACGGCGCTTGGCTGCTCCCGGTGCTCAGCTGAGATTTCCTACGGTATGTTTGGAAGTTTTTGGTAAGAGCGGCGGCAACCCTCCTCTTCCCCGTAGGAAACTGATATTGTGCTCCTGGAAATGACTTAATTTGGATGGTGATTTCGCCGTGGGTGCGCGTGGCTCTGCCGTGCCGCTTTCCGGCGCGCCACGGAAAAGTCGGGTCGGCGACCGCTCGCCGATGAGGTTGTGGTTCCCTGTTACTATCAGCTATGAAATTCAAGCATTTCGGACAGAATTAATGCATTTTGTTTGCCTTTTTTTTTTTTTTTTTTTTTTTTTTGGTTTTAAACATTGGAGAAAAAGGGATGCGTTCTGTAGCTTATGAGAGCGAACAGTAGTTAGTCGGGAAAAGATAAATAGTGAGAATAAAAAAGAGACAGTTGTTGACTTCTGTTTAAATACTCCTGTATTCCTGTTCGATGATTGTTACCAGATATAATGATTAAGTAATTTATCACTTGTGGAAGAGAAATATATGCAGAAATACTGTTTGACTCCCATTTCATGGAAGTCACTGGAGATTGTCTGGTTAAATTTGGTGCATTTTTTGGATCTTGCTGTTAGTGAACTTATTCCTGAAAAAATTGGCAGCACCGTTTGAATCTAGAGTCAATATAAAAAAGAATCCTTGTTTTTTTAATTTGAATTTTATTTTAAAACCTCGGTTGCTCTCCTCGTCTGAAGCCGTCGATCTCTTAAGTTGCAGCTGAGTTCAGACATACAGTGTGTGTCACACTGGAAAATTACAGCTGATATTTTTCCCCTTTTTCACTAGAAATATTACAAAATTCAGCACATTTCTCAAATACATTTAGATTTTCCCTGAAGTTTTTTAAAGTAAAATAACTTTCAAGTAAAATAACTTTATTTTTTAAAGTGCGTATGCTTCTCTGACCTTCGTCAAAAGATGCAAGCAGCAAATTAAGACGTCTTTTTTTTATAATGAACTTGCACACAGCTAAACTCCGAAGTCAGACTCTTATCCAAATTAGAAATTTTGATACGCCATGAGATTATTTTTTCTTTTAATACAAGAGGAGCAAGAACCATTTGTTAACTGACCTTTGCTAAACAACGAGCGACTCAAGGGACCACTTCTCAAAATGGGAGACCGTTGCTGCTAATTTATTATGAACTAATTAGGCGTTTGTCATCTGGCAGGTCACACTGATCTGTTCCAGTGCCCTCACTGTCAGCTGATAGTCCCTTTTCAAGCAGTGTCTCACGGTGAGGTGGACCTGGATCAACACAGGTACATCGGAGGATAAAACACTTGGTAGGATATAGGGCGAAGGAGGTAGAGATGATCTATATCTGGCCACATGTTTTGTATTTGCTGCAGGACCAGAGAGAAAAATTTCCACTGAATGGAGAAAAACAATAATGTAGAGGTCCCTTTTTGCCTAGACTGAATTAAAAACAAATACACCTCGGTGGTGGCTTTATTTGTTCAGTAGCAAATGTTCTCCCTACTGTTCCTGCGTGTCCCGATATTACAGTAGTCAATGCAAATGATCCTTTCTTCCATTAACCTGCCCGTTTTCTCTGGTTCCAAAGAATGTCTCTTTCATCTGGCCTCTTCCTGTGTTTGCTGGGGGGCTGCTCAAGCCAAAATGCATTTGATCCTATTAGGAATATTTTTAATTTGCTCAATGTTTTCCGTAACTAATGGGCTTCCTTTACACGTTTAGCTGTGTTGATGTGTCTCAGTCTTTTGCACAAAGGTGGGATGTTTTTGGTCATTTAAGGGATTTTTATTTATTTTTGTAAAGCCTAAAGCCCAGGGTCAATGTGGAAGTTGCAAAGACCTCCAGCCATTGTCAGCCTATTGATGCTAGTGGAGACACAGTACAAAAGCAAAAATGTGTAGAGGGAAGCTAGGCTGATCTGATCCTGTCACCCTGATGTCACGTTTGATAAGCAGGTACAGCCCGTGCTGGTTTTAACGTGTCCGGACCTGATTCAGAGCCTGGGAGCGCTGGCACAGCAACTCCCACTCCAGGGCTTTGGACCCATCCCGTAAGGAAGAGATTTACAGAGCAGGTGTAATATTGACCTCCATGC